GTCGAGGCAAAAAGTTCTTCTCTTCTGAGCCTATACTTCTAATCTATAAATCAACCATCCGTCCTTGCATCTAATATTGCTGTCATATATGGTCTGGTACCCCCGCTGTATATTTCGAGGTCCTTGACATAATTCAGAGACGGATATGCAATGACATAGGTCCTGATCTGGCATGTAGCCTACTGTCACTTTCTCACAGAGATGCCGAGGCTTCACTCTCTTTCTTCTATAAGTATATTCACAGCAACTGTTTCAACGAGGTACTTTCCCTGATTCCCAGACTGCGTGAATTTAAACGAGCTACTAGGTTGGCATTTCGGTCCCACCCTTCACTGTCGAAATGGTTAAATGTAACCGTCTCTTTTACTCAAACATCTTCTTCTCTCGCACTTACCATCTGTGGAATTCTCATCCTATTAATTGCTTCCCTGATAACTATAATCTTCAAATATTCAAGTGTAATGTCAATCGACATATTCTGGTACCTTGATCTTGTTCTCCGTCCTTCTTTTATCCTATCCCGAAACACGTCACTTTATTCTTGTTCTTTACCGTCTGTAACCCCTTGAGTGCTAGTGGCACTCCCGTCTTGCTTGGGGTGAAATGCTTAAAAAAATCCCCATATACCAAGTCTTTTCTCACATTTAACACCCTGTAACCCCCCTGCGTACTAGTCGTATTCCTCGTTTGCTTGGTGTGAAATGATTAAAAACATACTTTATTCTACATATCAATGTATTACGTATTCCCGAACTTAACATCAGTTTGAGATGAAAACTTCAATATGTCGATTTATAAGACTTCGTGGTGCTGCAGAGATAATGGTCATTTCCTTCTATCTTCTGGAAATATTCATGTCTCGGAAAAATGCATCCTAAAGAACACCGTTTATTGAAACATTCCCAGTTAGAATTAGCTCTACCAAAGATTGATTAATATTAATGTATAGACTTTTATCATTGTTACTCTGGATTGATGATTGGCATTATGCAGGAAGATTGCTGGCGGAATGAACGGTCGTGGCGAGGAAAAGGTGACAGTAGACGACATCTGTCTATGGTTCTAACTCTCAATAATAATACTTGGTATAAACAAGCAAAAAAAATAGTAGTTGAATTAGGCTATCAGTTACTTCCAGCTCAAGGTATCCTTTCTCTATTTCACATAAAAAAAAAAGATTTTTAACTCAGGAGGTTTAACCCCATGTCCTGTAAGATTGACAAAACGCATCCATCCTCACTTCTAACCGAATAGTTGGTTCACCTAAATTTACGATAGTGTCAACGTAATGGCTTTGTATAGGCGTGTGTAGATATAGACACAGATGTATATATGTTGGTATACCGCAGTTTTAAAAGACAATTTGTCAAGGCACAGACGTAATAATTACACCAAAAAAGAAGAATGTCTTTCTAAATTAAAACGCACTCTACTCAAGTTCTTCAGGATTTATGCCATGTAAGATTAGGAAAGAGAGATTAAGACGGAAACTTTGTCTGATTTTTTTATGAAAAGATTACGAAAGCAGAAAGTAATGAACAAAGATAAAAGTAATGTATCCGAAAGATGAAAACATTTTTGTTGTTTTTTTTTCTTTTTGTAAATAATTAAATTGAAAGGCGTCTTTTTATAGGAAGAAGTCGGAAATATTTGGAAGAGAAAGAGAGAGAGAGAAAGAGAGAGAGGGAGAGAGAGAGTTGGATTAATATAATAGGAAGAAAACGAATTAGAAACGGATTTAGAAAAATGAGAAGAAAAAGAAAGAAAAGGAAGCGGAGAATATGAGGCGGAAGAAAAAGACAAGCCAATGCAGTGATTGTATACAAACGTGAATACGTTGAAATGATTAGGCAAATATAAGTAAATACATATATGTAGACGTATATGTAGAGAGATAGATGAGTAAAATATATTAAGAATGAAATAAGCATCTGTCTATCACTATCATTATATATATATATATATATATATATATATATATATATATATATATATATATATATATATATATATATATATATATGCACACACACACACACACACATATAATATATATATATATATATATATCTTATTGCAATATCTTTCTGTCTATCTATCCGGGGGCACGGTGGAGTAATGGAGACCCGAGTTCGAATTTCAGTCGAGTTCGTTAAAATCACTTATTTTCTTGGGAAATGTATGAATCTATCTCTTCAAAACATATACAACCCCCACCCCAGGAATGGATAAGTAGCTGAACAGACTGGGTCTTTGACGTGGGTGGCAATCGCTCTAAGAGTAGCAAAATTAAAACTTCAAAAGCTTTAACCATGAGTTAAATATCCTTTCCAAGACTCAACTGTACAAGCCTTGTGAGTAGTGCTGAAGACACGTTGTCCATCAGGGAAGGATTCCTCAAGGAGTAAGGAGGCTCTGGAACTTCTTGTATGTGCCGTCATCCCTGCAATCTTCTTATTGCCTACGTACTTACGTACCTATATTTCTCTCTCCCCCTTTCTCTCTCTCTCTGTCTCTCTCTATATATATCTACCTAGTTAGTTATCTCTATCTATCTATCTATCTATCTATCTATCTATCTATCTATCTATCTCTCTATCTATCTATCTTTGCTTATTTTATTATCTATTTATCTACCTGTTCTTATTTCAATAACTTACTATCTATCTAATCTATTTATCTGTCTCAGTCTTTTCATATCTATCTATCTATCTATCTATCTATCTATCTATCTATCTATCTATCTATCTCTTTTTTATTTCAATACGTATTGGCTATTATTTCATTATCTATCTATCTAGCTAGCTAGCTCGCAAGCTACAGTTAGGCCCAAATATATCCGAAACTTTGCATAAGATTTCTTCTAACATACTAAATCTTTTCTTAAAGGATATTTTCCTCAAGTACCTAAGGACAAATACTGCTTTTTATCTTTTTTTTATTATATTCGAATTACAATGCCTTGACAATAACAATATATTCCTGTTGCCTTCTCCTCGATTTCAGTTCTATTCTCCTTGACTACTTACTCCCCACGTTTAGATAGATAGGACTGTTTACCTTTTTATTGACCCATAGCGACGGAGTTATGATATGGTTTCCTGAATTTTTCAAGTACATTATTAAGAAACTAAAAATTACAACTAACTCGGTCAAAATTTGAAATAGGTTTACCAATTCCGGCTTTCCGCACCGATAAAAAGCTAATAAAAGGAGATCCATATTAATGTAACAAATATAAAATAAATTGATGCAATCTTAACCAATGAAATTTAAAGATTAAAACCTGAAATAAGGGAAGCAATAAATATCGATCGACATATTCTGATAAATATAATTTTTAAGTAAGTTTTGTAATACTAGACGGTGAACAGCGTTTTATTACTGTGTCTGGTAATCTTCCAATAAAATTCCTAACATATACAGGCAGCGTTCTATGGATCAATTATTCATTGACTAAAAAGTGTTCTATGACATTTGGTAACGATTTTAGATCGCTACCCAAATACAGTTGTCAGGAAAATTTTGAGGCTAGATTTCAGTAGTCGGAGACGCAGTTCGTAGATAATGGCTAAACCATGGAGATGGGTTTACCTAGATCTGGAAGTCCTTCTAACAGTTGATCTTCTGCTGGTAGATAGCTAGATCGCCGAGTAAGATTTCCAGGAAGCTGAAAGAGTCATGTGCCTGACTCTGTCAAAGAAATGCTCAAACATATTGAAGCTTTTGTTGAAAATGCAAAGTGAATTCTATGATAAATACTAACATCTGTTACGAATCGTCTGATATTCACCAATAAATAATTTGAAAAGTCACTGATTTTCATGGATCATTATGTTTAAAACAATTTTCGATGGAAGTGCTGAGCCGCATGTCAAAAAATAATATCATCCTGACAATGACGTTTAATTTAGATAACAAAATGTGATGGGGTCATATTTCAACAGAAGAGACTAGAAACCTTGATGTAATTGAAAATAAGATAGATGTAAACATAATGGCAAAACATTTTAAATTGTGTTTTTATTGTTCTTTTTTTATTTGTTTTATTTTTTTATTATTATTATTACTTCATCCCAAGCAAGGCTATAAAGCTACGAAAACGCAACAGGCTACTGAGTGTAAAAAACATGAAAAAAAGAAAACCTGATTGAGGAGAGAAAACGATCAGAGAACAGAAATTAAAAATACAGACGATGACAATTGATATTGCATTTAAATGTTTGAAGATAGAATTTGACGAAAACAAAAATGACAAAAGTGAATCTCAATGTGAAGTGCGAGTAAAGAAACTCTTAGCAAAGAACATACGACTAAATCTAGTAATTTCAGCTATAAATTTATGAGTCGTAGATATCAATCTAATACTGCGGTTGAATTTGTAAAAACGATCTACATAAGAGGAGAACTCTTCAGAACAATTACTATGAAAATATTTATAGAAAAGACAAAGGGAAGCTAATGTTATGGGAAAGTGACTGATGTCTTTGGATTTAACTTAAACATGGATATGAATATTAATTTCCGTTAAGAAGGTCTGATTAATTCCAGAATAAAGTGAAATGCGTAGATTGATACGGCCAGTTTCCTGGTTGAATTTCATAAAGAACTGAAAATTGGAATCTAAAAATGATTTCAAGTAATTTTACGCATGCGAGAGTTATTCTTCATGAAGGGCGCATTAGACAACCAAATGAAATTGGCAAGCATTTTGCAACAGCCTAAAAGATACAGGAATCTGCGATTTCCTTGGAAGTTTAACAAGCAAGTTCTGAAACATTCGTTTGAATAAAATTGGACAATTGTGAGTTTATTTGAAATATTTTATTATATCTTTGATTGCTGAAATATGCATGTCTTAAATACACACAAACACAAATAGAGACATAAATACACACACGCACGCACAAACACACACACACACGCATATATATGCATTTAAAAGAATTGATCTTTGTTCTAAGTAACGATACATTTGAAACTGAGTGGTGCATGTTTTAATGGACTATACTTTCTATCTATCTATCTATCTATCTATCTATCTATCTATCTATCTATCTATCTATCTATCTACTTTATCCTTTCCGTACCTAATTATGCATCTTAATCTTGTCATATCTATCTCATTCTCTTCATATTTATGTTTATACATATCTATCTATCTATCTATCTATCTATCTATCTATCTATCTATCTATCTATCTACTTTATTCTTTCCGTACCTAATTATGCATCTTAATCTTGTCATATCTATCTCATTCTCTTCATATTTATGTTTATACATATCTATCTATCTATCTATCTATCTATCTATCTATCTATCTATCTATCTATTCTTATTTCAGTTTCTACCTACCTATCTGTTCTTACTCAGTGTATATATATATATATATATATATATGTGTGTGTGTGTGTGTGTGTGTGTGTGTGTGTGTGTCTCTCTCTGTCTGTCTCTCTCTTTCTCTCTCTCTCTCTCTCTCTCTATATATATATATATATATATATATGTGTGTGTGTGTGTGTGTGTGTGTGTGTGTTTCTGTGTGTGTGTGTGTGTGTCTATCGATCGATCTATCGCTTTCAGGTTCATTATTCCTGCTTCATCACGTAAAATAGCAATTAGTGTTAACATAAAAATGTTGTAAATCAGTAAATATAGGCATAATTACGAGGAATTTGTTAGACAAATTAGTAAACATAAAAGTTAATTTAATGTACCAAGCCATTAACACACTTAAAAGCGTCCCATGAACATTTAAATAATAACCAGGTAAAGGTAGTCTTCAAAATCCTTCAAAGATTTCGTCAATTAGGATCTCAACAATATTGAAAGCACTGAATGAACTGTGAAGTGATCAGGTTTGAGGACATTTAAATATTTGGGCATGGTTATCAGCGATGAGGACTCCAGGATATAAATAATTTCAAGAACAGCACAAAAAGAAAATAATAAAAAAAACCTCTGTAAAGACAAGAACATCTGCATGAAATGTAAGACCAGATTGTTACATTTCTTGACTTACTCAATATTTCTTTACGTCTGCGAATTAACCGCAGAATTAAAGCAAATAATCCAATAATTTAATATCAGGTACTAGAGACCCCATCCTAGTAGTCTGCTAGACCATTTCAGGTAAGAAACATACCTTTTGTTGGACTTAATATCCTGACATCAAGAAGAGAATATTGAAATGGTATTACCACTCCCATCCTACAATTCTCCACGTTAGTCAAAAGAAGTGGCCGATTGCCAACTGAGTAGACTGGATGAACATTCACAGAGACACATACTGGCACGCAACTGAAACACATGTTAACAGCTGATTAGGTGATCAACTCCGTTGCGACTCTACGCGCACAGCCGGTAATAGAACTGATTATTATATAAAGTCCCTCCCTTTTGTTGAAACAGTTAAAAGTAACCCCCTCTTTTGGTCAAATAGCGTCTTTTTCTCGTATTTCCTTAAAGTGAAACTCCTCTTATTGTTTCCCGATAACTACTATATTCAAAAATTAAATGATAACGTGATCTATGTTCATCTTTTTATCCTTTCCTCAATCCCGCCTCTACCGAGGTTTTTCTCGTACTTCACTCCTTGTAACCCCTTGCGAAATAGTGGCACTCCCGCCTTGCTTGGTGTGAAATAAATAAAATAAAGAATAATATGTAGGAAGACATTTCTTCAACTGATAATGTAGACGGATATGCAATGTTGTTGGCCCTGATCTGTCATCTCGTTTACCGTCGCTCTTTCACAGATGTGCCGTCGCCTCCCTCTGTCTTTTCTACAAATACTTTTACGGTAACTGCTCCGACGAGATATTTTCGCTGGTTTTCAAACTGCATGCATTTTAAACGTGCTACTATGTTGACAAGACTGTTCCACCCTTTCACTACCGAAACGGCTAAATGTAGCCGTCTTTTCTACTCCACCAGCTTCTTATCTCGCACTTCCCGTCTGTTGAACTCCCTTCCACTTACTTGCTTCCCTGATAGCTATAATCTCCAACTATTCAAATGCAATGTCAATCGACATCTTCAGATACCTTGATTTATTCCCCGTCCTTCACTTCATCCTTTCGTTTTTCACGCGCCCTTGCTCAAGCTCCCACTTTCTCTAACTCCGTGTGTGCTAGTGGCACTCCTGCCTTGCTTGGCGTGAAATTTTATCCCTTTTTCTTTAAATTAAAAGACTGTTTTCACCTGGCTCTTGATCTATCTCATGCACGTTTGCGTAATCCAGAAAAGGGTTATGATGGCTTTGGTATATAAACATTATAACTATAAGTGTATTTTGGGAATACTTCGAATGAAACTGCACTAATTCATTTCTGATAGGATGCAGTAAATTATTTATCTTGATATTTTATCATTTTACTCAGAGTTTCCCTAACCATTTAATTCATCATTAATTAGATTTCCTCCATTAAATGAATCACTGTTTCTAATGTAAATAGGGCTTAATTAATATTCGTGCAACACTGGCAAATAAAGAAAGAACAGATCTGGAGCAATTAGACCCTAGGGTATAATCAAACAAATGCATAGTAATAATGAACCTAAATGCATACAAGTGCAGATGCCTATACAAAGATAGTGCCATGACATGCAATTTAGATGCAAATGTTTTTATTAGGGAGTAAACAAATCTGATTTCATAATCTGTTGGCTGTTCTATTATGAGAGTCAGTCAATCGGTTAACTACCATCACGTGATACATGGTTGGACGATCATGTTTCTTTAGATTAATGACTGACTAGGCAGAATATTTTACGCAGTTCTTTGCCGTTTCTTTCTGTAGTACACTAGTTGCCAACCAAGTCTAAAGGAACCCTTCAGTCCTGCTATTCAGTCTATTCCTAGTGGTGAAGAGATGGATTCATACGTTCCCTAAGTGTATTTACCCTTAAGTAATAAACCCTAGAGATATTTGAACTCCGATTTTTCATTCAGACACGTTATCACCTACACTAACTGCAAATACTATGAGAGAGAAAGTTTTCGGTTTTTTTTTTAAATGATCTTCAAGATTTCCTTGAAATGTCAAAAAGAAAAGAGGCACAGATTGATTTATCAAGTTATATTAGCAAACTTGAATAGTTACTACGCATTTAAAGCCTTCGGTCAGACATTGGTATGTTTATTAAATGTAGATGGGCTCCACACCGTAGATGACACACTCGCATAATCACGATAATGTTTTCGATTTTAACGTTGGCCTACACGAAAATGTCCTTATACCAGATTATGTAAAATTTAAGAAAAACAAGTATATATATGTGTGTGTGTAAACATGCTATATTTATGAGTTTAAGTATTCAGTATCAGGAATAGAGCACACACACACACACACACACACACACACACACACACACACACACACACACACACACACACACACACACATATATATATATATATATATATATATATATATATATATATATATATATACAGTGTTCTTATGTATATATTCGTGCTCAGGTGTTATATAACAAAGCTATTAACATATATTAGTGAGTTTAAGTATTCACTATCAGAATAGAGCACACACACATATATATATATATATATATATATATATATATATATATATATATATAAAGTGTTCTTATATATATATTCGTGCTCAGGTGTTATATAACAAAGCTATTAAGCATATATTAGTGAATATACATATATATGTGCTATTCACGCTATGTATATTCACTAATATATATATAATGTATATGGGTTAAATATACACCTAGTGTAGCAAATTCTATGTTCAATTTCCTTATATCCTATACTAAATATATTATAACTTATCAGTACACCGCAGTATATCAATAGTTCAAAAACAATTATACAGTTGGGGGAATTAAATATTCGTACACATGAAAAATTGTATTTTTATAAATCTAAAAGCCTTAACTAATACAAATTTTGATACATTTTATGTGTAAAGATATATTTTGTTAAAAAATAGTAATAGATTTAATTAATTCTTATTCTAACAGAAATTAATGCATGTTTTTAATTTTAACTGATGAGAAAAGTATTCGTACAAAACAAAAAAAAGTATATTAACTTAATTTAATACTTTGTGGAATATCCTTTATTGAGTTCAACAGCTAACAGTCTATTCCTGTACGACTCAACTAATGATTTGCACACATTGAGTGGTATTTTGTCACATTCTTCTTGGCATATTGTCTTCAAATTCTTCATATTAGTTAGTGCTCTTTTCCCAACTTGAATTTTCAAATATCGCTATGAATTCTCGATTTGGTTCAAGTCTGGGGACGGAATTGGCCATTGCAATACATCAACGTTACTTTCAGCTAACCATTTCCTTGTAGATCTAGCGGTATGCTTAGGATCATTATCCAGTTGGAAAACCCAATCAGGAGGTGGCCGAAGTCTCTCAACAGAACGCATTAAATTGTCTTGCAGGATTTTCTGGTTTCTTTCGGCATCCATCTTGCCATCTATTACTGATAATCTTCCAACACCTTTTGCAGAAAAACAGCCCCAGATCATGATACTGCCACCACCAAACTTTACAGTTGGCAACTTGTTCTTTGGTAAGTAGGCTTCACCGTCCTTCCTTCACACATGATTTCGATAATTATGACCAAACAACTCTATTTTAGTTTCATCTGTCCATAGTACTTTTTTCCCAAAACGAATTGTAGCCTAGCATCGCTGTGTCGTTTCAAGAGCAGTGGAGTCTTCCTCGGGATGCGTGATTTCAGAATGTTTTTGCGTAGTTCATTACTTATTGTACGCTTGGTTACTTTAATCCCTAATGCACGCAGATGTCTCTGCAGCTTTTCTCGGGTAACCTGTGGATTTTGTTGGATCTGGCGTCCTAATATCCTTGCTGATCTTAGAGAAATCTTCCTCGGAGGACATGTTCTTTGGTTTTCGACGCTGTTACGAGTTTGAAATCTTGCAATGAACGAAGCAATTGTAGTAAAAGGAATATTCAGGTTGTTAGAAACCGTTCTGTAACTGTTCCCATCTTTCCAAAGAGACAAAATGTGTTGTTTTTGTGAAATTGTCAATTCTTTCCCTTTAGGCATCATTATAACCTGCTCGTAAGACTAGAAATTACAGAATGCTCTGATAATGGCTAATAGCGTTAACTATAATTACTGATAACATTACTGGAACATTCTAGAATATAATTTTTCATAATTAATTGATTATTTTATTCTAAAAATTGATTTGTACGAATACTTTTTTCACCAGTTAGAATTTAAAAAATGCATTAATTTCTGTTATAATAAGAATTAATTAAGTTTATTATTAATTTTAATAGTATGTGTCTTTATACATAAAATATGCCGAGATTTGT